CTGTTAGCCATATAAGAGGCTTGAGCAGTTTCCGCCCAAGCCGAAGAGGACTCCACATCCATCTCGTGGGGACTCTGGATACACGGCAGGGTAATAGAGACCCTGTGTGAGAGTCAGAGGAGCTTGGCGACCTGATCCATCGCCCACCTCTTCCCGTCTTCGATCGCAAATTTTATAAGACGTATCTCCGATTTCGATTTTGGTGGCGCGTTCACCCAGAGCATCCAGAGCTCTGTTCCGTGGAGCCTAGCAAACTCCACGTGACTGTCCGTGTTGTCTGTGTCTGTAACCACAACTCAAGCAAGTTCTCCAGCCTACACCGCTGCCATCTTGGTGTAAGTAAACAATCTTTAAAACTACCGCTAAGCGTTTGTGCCTAATTCCAGCTCGTCGCCCTCCCTCTCCGATCCAGCGTGCCCGGGCTGCTGGCCACAGCCTGCGTGCAGCACGGAAAAGGGCTCAGGTCGCTCCTGGCCCGCACAGACCTGTCAAAGCATGTCCTCTTGGCCACAAATGGCCAAGAGGTCAACCATCTCATCTTCCTGGCCAAAACTCTGCCTACTGAGTATGCTCAGTAGCAGTGTGGACAGTTGTACCTGCTGTGCCTCCACATCAATACAGAGTACATCTTCACCAAGGCAAATAAGAAGGAGTACAATAGCCAAAGTTCATTCACCTACAACTCTGCCAATATCATCTATGTTATCACATGCTTACAATTCCTACCTGCTGCCTACATTGGACAGAAAGAATGATCTCTATGTGTAAAAATGAATGAACACTGATCTGGCATTAGGTGCAAAAAGACATAAAATCCTATGGCAGAACACTTTAATCTTCCTGTACAGTCCACTGCTGACCTCAGGATCACTATTCTTAGAAAGATTTTTTTTTTTTAAACAGTCTGAATGGGAAATTGCAAAACACGAAATCATCTGCAAACTGGACCACGTTAACTATGGTTTAAACAGGGACTATGGTTTATTTTCTTATTACCTGGATTAACTTTTGTGACCCCTTTGTTTCTATGGGTTCTCTGCTTGTATCATTCTCACAGCACGTCCGCTCCCCTATCCCTGCTTCCCTTCTTTCCTGCTTTTCCACCTATTGTATTCTAATTACTCACTCCACTTTATACTTTGTTTTATGTTGTCCTTTCACAGCATCTGCTGAAGTAAACGTGGGTTCATGAAAGTTTGTGTTCTCTCTCACTATATATATATATTCTTATATACCATATTTCACAGTGTACAGGTCAGCTAACCACTTGAGTATTTCTCCAGAGTCCACGTAGGTTTTGTGGGCTGCACCATGCTCAGTGGTGCCACAGCTGTACTGTTGATCTCCTTTACTAGTGACTGACCTCCTTTTAGTCACAGTTTGGATGTAAAAGAATCAATGAACTCTCTTCCACATTGAAAAAAAATCTCATTTAAAAAAAGGAAGTGATGATCTAAAAGAGTTATAATAATTATTAAACCCCTTTAAAATTCAATTATACCCAGGGCTGAAAGCTAGAGAGGGCATGAAGAATACAGTACATGATATATGCAATAAGTATCATGAGAAGAAACACAAAATCTAATGGAAGTAAGCCCAGCCCCACTGACTGTATTTTTATTTTTTTTACAATACACAAGAAAAACTGTGTTGATTAGTAATGATCTCAAGGCATATATTCTGGCTTTTGTCATACATATGGCCCTTTTACGTTGTGTTTTGTGTGTTAATAAATAGGAACATACTAGATCTCAGTCCGACTTATACCAAGATCTCTTTACATCTTGTGACAGATTGCCCTGACACCGTCCCCCGAGAAAGTTATGAAAATAGAGGGCCTGGCATAGGATGACATTGTTCCCTGGTCCCAAAAGAAAAAGCTTACTGGTATAGCCAAATAACTACACTATGCTTATTTTCTGCTTCCTAGGGCCCAAAGGCTAACATACACATATCTGAAGGATAGAGAAGCTGCTGTATAACTCCAAAATATAGTGAGCATAAGGATGGTGGCATAAAAGCTCCCTTTGTCTGTCCCAACCCCAAATTCACTAATGGAGTAACCGAGAATCAAGCTGATTACCTATTTAACTTGAAACAGGATAATTTTATTCATGTAATCAAGAAATTGTAAAGTATTCACGTAAGTACTCATTTTTATTTATAAATGTATTTTCATTTTACTGCATTATTTTACAGTGACTTCAAAGTAGCTCCCTACTTTACATACTATATGGAAGGCAATGTGCCTCTTGAAACTGTAAGTGGAAGATGAGAGTTCCTGCTTAAAAGGAGCTTTCTGTTCTTCAAATCATTCTCTAAGAAAAGTTATAAGCTGAGAACAATTTAAACAGTAAAACTTTTATTTTTTCTACAGGATGAACAAATATTCATTGTACCTGATGGCAAAAGTGGGCTACCAGAAAAAGCAGCTTAGAACATTACAACATATTTTGTAGTCCACCTCATATATTTAAACTAGCTTGAAACTTTGCCACATTTAAATGTAGTAAATGGCACTATAAACTAAAACAAATGTGGTACATGGGTCTGAGATGACTTGCTCCATTTTAGTCTACATCAAAATTAGCATTTGATCTCTTGTATAGCAATAATTTTGTAAAATAATAGCATGAAACTGCATCAGAATAATATATTTTTCAGAAAACTGTATATAAGATAATTAATTTTTTCTTACATAAAAACACAAATGTCAGGGTTTGCCAGAATTATGTTTACAATATAAATTCTTCCCATTTACACACATGCATTAAAATAAAATCTTGGTACATGATGATCCATATTCCTAAAATAATACTATTATGATATCTAAATACAAACTCTCTGGGCCTCTATTTCATTTTTATAATAGGCTTATGCATTAGGCCTCAGTTAATTCATCTTTTAAAAACCTCGGGATAAGGAAAACTGAAAGAGAGGCTTAAAGCACAGAGAATTAAGAACCGTTATGGAAAGACAGTGGTCTAGAACTCAGAATCAAATGCTCCTAACTTCCCCCTAGGCAATGATGCCATTCTAGGAAAAATACTGCTCATGGAATAATGGTGATCAGGGCCATACAAGTAGCACCCTAAAAGATAAATAGGAAGACTTCAGTTTACTTCAAGAAGAGCAGGTTTTTGCCTTCAGCATGTTCATACTCTTTCTTTCCATTGCCTTCTCCAGTTGATTACATACAGCCACATATTCTTTCCATCTTCCAAGCTTCCAGCTGCTTTCTACATCAGCCTATGTAGAACTAATTCAGAGGACAATGTACAGGGATTTCAAAGGAATTGCTGAAAGGCTACACCAGCAACACACCCATCAAGTATTGATCTGAGAGCTTTGCATTCTGTATTTGCACCACTGAAATTTAGCTTGACTTTGTGAACTTTAAACTTGTGAATTAAAAAACAAATAGAAAAAGTGTAACCAAGATAATATCCTAAAAATGATATGCTTATTATTTGTATTGCTCTATGGCAACATTTTATGGAAGAGATTGCTGAAATAACTTAAACAGCATCCCATTACAATATACACTAGAGAAACACCTGAGACAAAAATGTTCAAAAGGAAAGCCAAGTTAGCAGTCTACAGTTTGAATCAAAGCACCTAATTAAATCCGCCTCTTATTTTTTCTCAGAGAACATTAGGTACCAGCTAAACACTCCTATATCAATGCAGCTGCTAATCCCCTGCAATTAATACCCTTTTTGATAAAGTATAAAGAGCATTTGGAGGAACTAAAACTCATATATAACTTTTATCACTAATCAGTCAAACGTAATAAAGTTGAGAAAATTGTTTTTGAAAAAGCTGTGAAATGTACAACAGAAAGGTTTACCTTGAAAAGCAGCTGCATTATGGGATATTAAAAACTTTAAAGCAGAGCTTGATGCTTGAAGCACTTCCTGTATATCCTGCTTTGCTGCAATCTGATATCTCTCTTCCATCTTTTTGGTACAGCATGTTGGGTTTTTAGAAGTGCAAACCTGAAGATCAGTCCCTAGAGAAAGAAGTACATTTTTATTTTCAAAATACATTATTACTCTAGAGTACTCTGTGACACCCATGTTAGTCAAGTCCTCCTCTGTAGACAAGACAAAGAAATAAAAGCACCATACAAAGATCTCAAAGATGTCCAATTCGACTGAACAAAAGAAAAAATGATGAATGTAGGAACCAAGATATTTATTTGAAGAAAACAAACATAATTCAGGAGAATATATCATATACCATTCCATTTTCTTAATACTGTGTGATCTCATCCTAGCTGTTGATTATACTGGATAAATACTGGGAGACATACAGGGAAGCACATGGCACAATAAATTACTGCTCAACTCCACTGTTGGCACTTCATAATCTACCGTCAAATGCTGAACTGACCAAGAAGGTACGAGGACTACCCACTGATAAGTATAAGAGGCAACAGTACTTACTAATGCAACGGTGGGAAGCTAACCTATGCCACCTGGCTGCATTTACATTATTGGACTACTATTTTTTCTGATGAACTAACCATGATTTTTACTCAATCGCCACTGCCATTATTGACAGACAGCTTGCTGCATGCATATTTGATACAATCCTAGTTCATAACTTGATGAGAAAGTTGAAATCTTTTCTTAGAGCTGCAAACTATGCTACATTTATCCCAGGACACAGCCATCCTTTGTCATTTTTTCGCTGAAGAAGATACACAAATATTTCGGTACCTCATAATCAGGGATCCTGGTTTTCTCTGATTTAAAAAAATCCCCAATTTTTGGTTTAAAAAAGTAACCCAAAATCCCCATTTCCCATGATTAAAATAAAATGCCGTTAATATACAGATATAGCTATAGTGTTTCATTTTAATCACAGAAAAATGTGGATTTGGCGTTATTTTTTTTAAACTGAAAATTGGGGATTTTTATAAATCAGAGAAAACCAGGATACCTGCTCATAATTGCCACTCTTTTTGAAGTGAGGTAGGAAAATATTTCATAGTAACATTATGGTATATAAAATGTTCACATTTTTTTTAATGGGCAAATCAATATTTCTGGGGGCAGGACAAAGTGATTATTTAAATTAAGTGTTAACAATGTACAACTCATTGGCTGGATCAGTTCACAGAGCAGAAGGGCTTTGCCTGTACCTATACCCAACAAGGGCTGCACAGTGAGCTCCTGCGCTGGAGCTGGGCAGATAAAAGCTGGCAACACTGCCACTTCTCCCTTCCTCCTTAACTCCAGCTTCCCTTCCTCCTTAACCTTCAGCATGGGCACAGCTTCTATCTGAAAGAGAGCTGCACCAAGGCTGGGTAGCTTCCAGCTGTACCCATGCTACAGCCAGGAGGCAAGGGGTTTGGAAAAACAGCAGCAACATGGGCATAAATCTGGTCCTGGTGCAGACACACCTAAAGCCTCCTCATCACTGAAGCCCTCAGGCCTACATCAAACAGAAGCCAGGTTGTTCTGCCCTGTGGTTTGTAAAGGTTAACAGCTGTTGATTTAAACCATGGTTATAATAAGGATTTAATAAGGCCTTAGAGAGTCAAGTTCTCTTCTCAGATACACAATGTGTATCAGATTTGTGTATCAGGAGATTTCTTGGACTATACATGATTTTTTTTTCTCTCTCTTCCCTGGTTGACATGTTGCTGTTTTTAAATACATGGATCCTTCTCAAGACAGGCAGCACCAGGTAAGAAAAAACAATGGAATGTGGGGAAGGGGAGCAAAAAAGTTGGGGGCATGGGGACTATCCGGATTAACACTGACAATACCCAGTGTAATTAAGCCTTCAGCTCTAGTACATACTTTTAACCATGTCACAACATGTTTATAGAATCATAGAAAATTAGGCTTGGAAGGGACTTCAGGACACCATTTAGTCCAATCTCCCCCTCTCCCCCATTCAAAGCAGGACCATCCGCAACTAGATTATCCCAGCCAAAGCTTTGTCTAGTTGGATCTTAAAAACCTCCAAGGATGGAGTGCCCACCACCTTTCTGTGTAACTTGTTCCAATTTACTGTATTACCCTCCTAGTGAGAGAGGTTTTCCTAATTTCCAACCTAAACTTCCCTTGATGCAACTTGGGACCATTGCTCCTTGTTCTGTCATCTGTCACCATTGAGAACAGTCTAGCTCCATCCTGTTTTGAACCGTCCATCAGGTAGTTGAAGGCTGCTCTAAAATCCCCCCTCAGTCTTCTCTTCTCCAGACTAAATGGGCATTTTTATACATGTTCCAGGAGGTGCAGGGGAGTGCTTTAATTAACGAGCACTTTTAATTAAATATGCCCAAGCCTCGTATGTACCAGCATCCCCTACACTGAAAAATGGTGGCAGGGTGCTTTGAACTAAAGCTCATCAAATGAATTTTAGTTCAAAGTGCCCCGCTGCCATTTCTTGGCACAGGAACGCTAATGCATGTGATGCCAGAATTTGCTGCAGTGCGTTTATTTCCATGTTCAGGCAGACTCTATTAATTGAGTCTGCTCTGACACTCTGGATTTCTAACGCATTGGAGCCAGCTCCCTGCACGTGTATAGGAGCCCAATAAGCCCAGTTCCCTCAGAAGTCTGACTCTCCTCAGAAGTCATGTGTCCCAGCCCCCAAACCATTTTCATTGCCCTCTGCTGGACTCCCTTCAATTTGTCCACATCCTTTCTGTAGTGCAGGGCCTAAAACTGGACACTGTACTCTAGACGTGGCCTCACCACTGCCACATAGGGCGCGTCCACACATGCAAGCACGTGTGCTTGCAGCAGCTCAAATAGAAGCAGTGAAAATTTGAGCCAGGGCTTCTTGCCTCAGCACACGTGCTCAGACATGCACTTTGTTGTGGAGCAAATTGTGCCACTTGGGGCAAAATAACTCTGCCTGGCTCCTCCTGGATCTTCAGCCAGGGGGAGCTAGAGCCCGGGGCCAGCACCTGTGCTATCCCCAGCAGTATAAAAAGCTGCCCTGGCAAGTAGCTCAGGGTTCCTAGCTCTCAGGAGCTTCTGGGGCCCAGCCAAATGGTACCTGGGGACATTACCCCTTGTGCCAGCTGAACTGCTGAAGCAGCCCTGAGAGTTCCCTGCACCCTCTACCCACTGCAGCAGTCTGGCAGTGGGGGCTACTGCCTGGCTGTGACCTGCTGTGCACCTGCCAGACTCGGATGGGGACTGCAAAGCCAGTAGAAGGATCTGCCCCCCCAGGCCAGCCGCCCGGG